CACACCTTCACCTTCACTGTGCTTCTGGCTGAGTTTGCTCTTTTGGGGGAAGCATTATTGACCAGCACAGGGCTTTGGGCAATGGGAGAGCACAGCTGGGTTCTAGTCCTGGCCTCACCTGGGAGCCCTTCAGGGTAAGGGGAGCATCCCAGAGGAGGTGGGCCTTGGTTGGCCCTAGAAGGGCTTGCGGGAATTCTGGGAGGCAGAGACCCAGAGAAGGGAAGTTTGGGGAGCACTGGGAGACGGGGGCTTGGGTGATTTTCTCTAGCTTCTGCATCCTTAAACAGCTAGGAGGATTCTTGCCTCACAGGCCCTGCAGGGGTGCAGCGCTGCGTGAGGGCACTGTGGAGCAGCGGGCCTGAGGGCTGTCACACCTCCCTCACACCTCCTGCCCTTGGAACCTTCCAGAAGCAGGGCTGGAGTGAGTCTCTGCTCCACCGCTGCCCGGCGGCGTTCCTGGCTAAGGGCTGAGCTGATTGCCCTGGGATCTCCTTGTTTGCGGGAGGGGCAGGCAAAAGGGGCTTTCCCTGTGGCTGAATTCTGAAACTTTGGGCAGATTTAAGGGAGGCGGAGCCTCTTTTGAAAGTGGCCCAAGGACTGGGGCCTAAAACTGGAAAGGCTGTTTGGGCGTGGGGACCGAGCGGAAGGGGCTGTGGAGGCTGCGCTGGGAGGTCACCCGCAGCAGCATGGGGAGGAAGGGGGACCACACTGGGAGATCTCGGAGGTGCTGGAGGCTGGAGCGGCTGAGTAGGAGGACCCCTCCACCCCTGTCCATGGCACTGGAGGGGGGGGGGGCTTGGGGTACTGAGTAATCTCTCGGGCTGCTGTCGCTCGGACCTGCTCAGATTCCGCATGTGTGAGGTAGAAAGAGCAGAGATGTTTGCCTAAGAAAACCAGTGAGGGGAAACCGGGACTCCCCAGAAGATAAACGATGTGCTTGGCGTTACAGCCAAATATTGGCCACGTTGGAGTCAGGATCCAGAGCTCAGAACCTCAGAGTTCACACGGCTGGGGTAGTGCAGCTGTAGCCTGCAAATTCTTTAGCGCCCAGGGAAGCTGAGAATGCTTTTGGGCTGCACAGTGGGCCGGGGAGAGGGGGGGTGCGGGAGTCTGAGGTGGAAGTCCCAGAAACCCGTGAGATTAAGGGGACCTTGTGCAGACCCACATAGCCCGGCGGGGCCTGCCTCACTGGCAGAAGGGCTTGGCTCCCTGCAGCTCCCTGTGGCACAGCCTGAGTTCCCTCCAGAAGCAGCAGGATGTATCACACTGTTTGCTGCAACTCCAACAGAGCCCTAGTCACAGCAGGTGCTTCAGTCTCCCCATCCACATATGCACAGACACACACGCATGCATGTAAGGTAGCCCAGACATGGCCAAGGAGACACTTTGCCAAACACCCCAGAAAGCGCCGGGCAGAAGCAGATTCCAAACTGGGCCCCTTGCCTTGTTTTCACTCCCCAATTGGCCGCAACAGCCGGAGCTGCGCCGATCCGAAGCCAGGAGCTTCTGCTAGGTCTCCCACACAGGTGCAGAGGCCCAAGAACTTGGGCCATCCTCCACTGCTTTCCCAGACCACAGCAGAGAGCTGGATGGGAAGTGGAGCAACCAAGTCTCGAACCGGTGCCCATATGGGATGCCAGCGCTTGAGGCCAGGGCATTAACCCACTGCGCCACAGCGCCGGCCCCAACCCCATGCTTTGTGTAGAAAGGAAGCCCAAGGACCCGACAGGTCTCACAGAGCAGAGGCCTGGCCCTGCGATTCCAGGCCAAGGTTCCCAGATCAGATGCCAGTGATGAGCGCATCGCACCTCTGGAGAGGCCTCGTGGGCTCCTGCCCAAGCTCAGGCTGTCGCAGGGGAGACCGGTGGCGACCTAATCTGTCCCTGGGGAGTTGCTACAGGTTGTCTAGGAGACAGACGTTCCCAGTAGCAGAAATGCACTCTGGCTGGGGAAGCAGGCCCCTGGCAGAAGCCGGGCAGCTGAGCCAAGCTGAGGACAGAGCCAGATGTGAGGCTTCACTTGCCAGAGTGGCTCCGTGCCTTTGCCCAAGCGACACTTGACCTCCTCCAGCCTAGCCTCCCCATCTGTAAACTGGGGATAATGATGGCTTGTCCGGTCCACTTTCAGGGCCAGGGTGAGGCTATGCAGAGAAAGCAGCTCCCACTTAGTGAGCCTGCATCACAGCCTTCGGGCCTGACCACAGCGCTGTAAAGCAAGCAGCAGCAGCCTGCCTGACGTGTCAAGACGACAGGTGAGTAAATACTCGTGCCTGGGCTCGAACCCTGCTCCGACTCTAGGCTTTGTCTTCCACAGAAAGCCCCTTCTTAGCATGAAGGTGCTATGGAGATGTCACGGAGGGGAGGGGGCTTACCAGAATAGCATCAGAGTCTGGTACACAGAACGTTGAAGGACTGCGGATGCTTCATTTGAGACAGGGTTAGGCAGACCATTGCCTGCCACCTATTTTTATAAATAAAATGCTATTGGGGCACAGCCGTGTCCATCGGTTCAGCTTGACAATGGCAGGTCTGAGTAGTTGGGACAGAGACCATATGGCTTACAAAAGTGAAAATACTCTGGCCCTTTACAGAAAATGTTTGCTGATCCCTGGTGTGAAACATTTTGGGAAGTCTCCTGGCAGTGCTTCTGGCCTTTGGCTGAAGTCCAAGGCTGCAGCCAGGGGAGTCCCTTTGTCCAGCTCCTTCTGTGAGCACTGGCTGCTCGCTGGGGGAAAACTGGCTTTTCACAGGAGCCCTGGAGAGGGCCTTCCTTTGGAAGGTTCCAGAGAAACGCTGTCTCCTTGGCAGTGGCTAGCAGAAGGCCCCTCAGGATGGCTACTTGGGCCAGGCCTCATGGTTCCCCCAGTGGCAGCAGGAGGGAGCAGTCCTAATTATGGGTGCCATCGGTGGGAGGACCCGGGGGGAGTGCTGAGACAGCCAGGGCTCCTGGGAGAGTCCAGAATATTAGGCTTCAAAGCAGCTCTGGCTCATTTGACACCGCACCTGGGGGCCTGAAAAGCTGTGTGTGGTCTGTGTCTGTTTGCCTCCCTAATCTCCATCCTTTCAGAGGCTGCCCCATTTCCGGATGGATTTGAAGCAGTGTTGTTTTCTCGGGTTCTCGGGGAGCCCCCCAGCCTTCAACCCCACAATTCGGGACCTCCTGTCCAGACCCAGTCAGTTCAGTGGACTCCTTTCTCTTTGTCTGAAGCTCTGCTCTTAGAAAACACAACCCCCTTCTCTGAACCTGTGACATTTCTTTGGCCAAGTGAAGAGAGCTACAAAGGATGGCAACCCATATGTCCCACCTTGTTTTGCTTTCAGGTTTAAGAATCTTCCACGAAAGCTACGCTTTTCTTTCCCTGGCCTCCTCTGCTCCAAGGAAGTCAGATTGGCATCTACCCAGTAAGATGCAGTTGGCTCCATATGACGGTGCCGTGGTGTCTGCTCCCCCTTCTTTGTTCCCACCACCACTGCCCACCATCCTCCCCTCAATTTCGAAACATGCTAGTAGGCCTTTCCAGGGCCAGCTGAGTCACACAGCCTCCATTCGCTCGCCCTGATGCCACCAGGGCACCCATTTCCTATGGTGCTGACTCAGAATACCAATGCGTTTTGTGCCCAATTCATCTCTCTAGTTGGAGGACCTTTGGCAGTACAGTGGAAAGAATTTGATTCCAGAATCCAAAGCCCAGACTCTAGACCCACTTATTAGCTCTGAGATTTGGGGCAAGCTGCTTCCCCGGCTTTCTCATCTGTAGAACGGGGATCATGGGCTGTGGGACCCAGTTGTTAGGGTGATCAAAAGAATTTATCTTAAAATAAGTGCTGTAAAATATTCAAGGCCTGCACACTTACGGGTCTGTAGTAAGCTGCCCTGCCCCTATCTCCTTGGTTTCATATGAAATCAGAGCTTTGGGAGTGATTGGGGGGGTGAGCAACAGACCAATCAGGATAAAGCTAGCCCACCCAAAACCTCTGCCTAAAACCAGTTCTTCTGATGAGCACTTTGCCTAAAAATCGAACTAGTAATTTTAAAATAAGGCACTTTGCACTGATTTTCCTAACAGGCACGACCGATGTAGTGTATTTTTAAATCACTATGTCACAATTTGCAGCATTTTGTCAATGACGAAATTGCTTTGTGTGCTTGTGGCTAACTTTTCCTAGTTTAGCTCCTATTGAGCAGTTTTATGACTTCTGGGTGAGTTTGTCTGAAGACCCTGTCTTTAGAATTGCATATTTTCAGCACTAAATACTTGTCAAATCTATAGAATTCACCACAAGATTTATCAAATGCCCCCATTTTGATCACTCGTCTCCTTCTCGTTGGGTTTTTGCTGTGCACCATGTATGCCCACATCACCTAACGGGTTTATTAACCAAATTAGCATGTACCCAATGTTCTTTTCTGTTCGGCAAGATATCAGCGTTTTGACAACAAGCATGAAAAAGTGAGACAGATGGGGCAGGATTGTATTGAACTCCTCGCGTTTTATTTTTCAGGCGATCTCATTCATCAGCGCAACTGTACTTTGTGAAGCTGAAAATGATACATACAAAGTCATTACCAAATGTATTTATTGCGGAAAACATTTTTCAAGAAAGGCAAACTGGCTAAAAAGTCCCAAAAGTGTTGGAAAGTAGATCAAACAGAAGACACCCACCAAGGATACAAAACAATTTTTAGTAGCGATCCCATCTTTTAGTCAGCGTGTTCTTAAAGAGATTGCTTTTTTAAAAACTTCCTCTAAATGACACTGCCAAAAAAAAAAAAATCACAACACCCAAACAGTTGCCAAAAAGCTTAAAAGTGGGCTGCTGCGTTTTACGTGCACTGGTCAGTAAGCCCCCATCCTCCTTGTGTGAGCTTGTGGCAAATCAGGGTGCAACCAGCTGGCCTAGGACAGGTTTGAGATGCGGGCACTTTGGCTTCCTGAACACACAGTACAGGGGGCACAGGGACACCCAGGGTGCTGAACATGACCTCCAAGAGTAAGGGTGCACTGTCAGCTTTTAACTCTTTATTATAAAGATATATTTACACAGAACAATCTTTACAAACACAGTGAACACAGTCATGGGAAGAGGACACTTTGGTAATGAAAAAGGCCTTAACGTCTCTGTATAAATTAGTCTAAGAATCATACACAACCACTTTAAATAAGGCAGACCCCCGGCCCTCCCTCTGCCCTCCTCTGGCCCGTGTCTCCCAACTTTCTCAGCTGATGTCCCCCTTCTCTTCCCTTCCCCATGGGGGCTGGGCTTGGCTGCAGCTTATGCAGGCGGGAGATGCAGACAGGAGGAGGAGGAAGGCCCGGGCTCTGGTGGGGGCATGAGCGGCAGAAGAGACCTTCTGGACACTGAGCAGCCCCCAGCCCGAGTCGGGAGGGTGGGGTGGAGCTGGTGACCAGCCCCATTTCCCCAGGGTGGGCCTTGGGGCGGCGGCAGCAGTAGCAGCAGCGTTAGCAGCAGCAGAGGTAAAGGACATTGGGATTATTGTGGGGTTCTTGGGGGGCCCTGACTCCGCCTGCACTCACGCATACCCAGGTGGGCACCCGGCTTCTGTCTTCTCTTTTCTCCCTCCAGGGAGGCGGATGAGAAGGAAGCCCGCTCAGGGCGCTTGAGAGACCCCTTTACGTGCGCCTGTCTCTCCTCCCTCCTCCTTCCTTCCCTGTTCCTCCCACCCCTCCATCTCTCCTTCCCACCCTCCTTTCCTCCTTCTCCGCCCTCTGCCCTCCAGCCCTTAGGAAAGGCCACCGGGAAAGAAGGCAAAGCTACTGACAAGCAGCGCTGGGCTTTTTGAATGGTAGTCTCCGGGCCTGGGCCTGAGTCTGCCCCAGGATGGGGGCAGCAGTGGAAGGCCAGGGAGCTGAAAGCAGCTTCAACCCCTCAAGGGGGCTGGTCACAGCCAGCTTGCCTCTCCCTTCCCTTCCTAGCCAGCCCCAGCACCAACCCCACCCCCACCCCCGGAAGAGGCACTTGACTGTTTTGGGAAGTCATTCAGAGGGAAGAGGACATCATAAAGCGGGGAGGAGGGGGGACACCGGTCCCCTTTTCGGCTCTGCAGTGCCCCTGAGCAGTTGTGTCCCTCTGTGGGAGTCTGTATCAGCACAATACGGGAAGCCCAGCTAAGTGGTCTCTGCGAGGGTTCTTTCTGCTCTGATAGTCTTCGATTCCTGGCAAAAAATGACCCTCTTGCTTGGCGTTTACCCCTGGGAGGTCTAGAGCCACTGCAGACCCAGCACCCTCCCCTCCTGACCCTGAGCTTGAACTTGCTGGCAAGGGGTGGGGAGGGGGAAGGCTTAGCAGTGAGTGTTAGGAGACAAAATAATGTGTGAGAAGTGACAACGGCCTCTCTCCGTCCCCTCTTCTTCTCCAGGCCACCACAGAGCCCCCAGTAGCTGCTCTTCCTTTCCTCTAATGCATCAACCCCCCATCACCAGAGCACCAGCCCCCATATCAGTGCCCCCAGTGCACATGTCTGGATCGCAACACTCAGCCCCTGGAATCAGAGTCTCTCATTGCTCCTCGCTGTGTTGAGACTGATGTGGGGTCCAAAGGACAAGGCTGCTGAAGGGAGCCAGTGAAGGCTTGGGCCCTCAGGTGGGTGAGGTAGGACGAGAGCCGTGCAGAGGGCTGCGTCTCCAAGGTCAGCCCAGGGAGGGGCTGCGAAGACGGGCTCAGCGGATCCTTGCTAGTGAACTGGAATCATCTGAAGAAGGGGCAGGACCACACCATTGCGGGCAGCTGGTGGGTGAGAAGAGCCGGGACCGGCAGCAGCTAGAACAAGTGCAAGAGCTGAATGGATGGATGTGGGGGCTCCCAAGAAGCAGACCCATCTACGAGTGGCAAGAACTGCAGGTGGCAGGCCCTTGGGGGCCCCTTCGGTCCTAAAGAGACAAAAGGGACAAAAGAAGAGAGGTCATTGATGGGGTCCTATGACAAAGGAATCCCCCAGGCAAGGACAGTAGGCAGCTTTCATTCTCCTTACCCCCTCCCCGCACCACCTCGCACTGCTTAGGCCCTGCTCCCTCACTCTGGGCAACCACGGTCACAATGCTCCCCCTCTTTCTGCCTGGTACCCCTGTGGGTTTCTGCTTTATTCCCCTTACCCCTAGATCAGGTGAGGTCCACGCTGGACACAGACATGCTCTGAGCACCCTGTCTCCCCCACCCCCACCCCCGCCCCAGTCATCAAGGCCCACCAAGTCATCAAGGACTTCTGGAAGTTTCCAGGAAGTCAGGTGGAGGGGAGCCAGCACTCCACTCTTGGGGCATCAGGATAGGGGCCCCAAGTGTCCGGTCCCTCTGTGGGCCTCCATGTCCTCCTACGTATAATGAAGGGACCAGATGGGTACTCTTTAAGCTGGCTGGCAGCTCTGAGGCCGTCTATGTGTGTGGCAGCAGGGACGGCTTGATGGATATGTCTGGCCAGTGGTAAGCGACAGGGTCACCGGGTCACCGGGTCACCAACCTCTAGGCTGTCCCTCCCCCACCCCGTCCAGACCGCCCCCTGGCCGGGGCATGCAGTACCTGCTTCAGAAAGGCATGGGGCCCTTATGGGAGAGGCGGGGCCGCTGGCGGCGGAATTTCCGGCGGCCTCCCTGCCAGGGCCCTGGTCCGTTCCGCGGCGCCCTGGGCTGCAGCAAGTAGCGAACATTGCCTTCCTCTAGCCCATTCCCTTGAGGAGGCTGCCCCAGGGGCCCTGCGGGAAGAAGAAAGCCTGTTAGGAGGAAGGCTGACAAGAATTGGGCAGGGGCTGGCTGGGGCGGGGGTCCACAGGCCCCCAGGAGGGGCAGGCCCTCCAGGAGGTGGCGCTCCTCTGAGCTTTCCCCACTCTGATGAAACATTGGCAATTCGGACACGATTTTTCTGTCTCTTCCTTAGGCACAAACAGGTTCTTCCTGTTTGGGGGCAGGGAGGGGGGTTGCACTTTGGGGTGTTGCGCCTGTACTTAGGGCTGTGGCACAGGACACAGTGACCCCCCTGGCACCCCTGTGACAGGCGCAGATCAAACACTCTGACATATGCCATCACAATGACCACGCACAGACCCATCACCTGGATCCAATAGCTATCCAGGCAGAGTTCTCCCTTCTCTCTTATTCTTGGCTGCAGTCTTTTTTTTTTTTTTTTAAGATTCATTTATTTGAAAGTTAGAGTTGTATAGAGAGGGGAGGAGAGAGAGAGAGAGAAAGAAAGAGAGAGATTTTCCATCTATTTGTTCACTCCCCAAATGGCCACAATGGCCAAGGTTGGGCCAGGTCATAGCCTGGAGCCTCATCTGGGTCTCCCATGTGGGTGGCAGGGGCCCAAGGACTTGGGCCGTCTTCTGCTGCTTTCCCAGGTGCATTAGCAGGGAGCTGGATCAGAAGTGGACCTGCCGGGACTCGAACCGACACCCATATTGGGATACCAGTGTCACAGGCAGTGGCTTGAACATGATGCATCACAACACACCGGCCTCAGCTGTAGTCTTTTATCACTGTTCTCCTGCACCCTTCGGTCTGCAGCGTGCCCCGCTTTGGAGTACTGGAGACCGCATGCCGTCCCCTCTCCCGGGCATCTGCGCATCAGTGCTCAGGCAGCTCTGGGGCTCACTCTCGCTCCCAGGGCCTCCCTGTGGCTGTGACCAGGGGCATCTCCAACTCAGCCCGCTTTTTGCTGAGCTCTACTCAGCCAGATTGAAAGGTTTAAAAACCTGAGTGAGTGAGTGAGTGAGTGGTCACCTCGAGCAGCACATCTGTGCACCAGGAGGAGGATGGGGCTAGGGCGGCAGGTCCCGCGCCACCGTGCCCGACCTCCTCTTACTCCCAGCTCACAGATGCCTGTGCCATGTGTGATGTCAGCTCCTTCTGTTCCAAGCGCAGCTGGCCTCTGCTCTGCTCTTGGGCTGCTCTCTCCATGTACCCACACGCGGCCTGGAGTCACCGCCTGCTGATGCCAGCCCGAGCCTCGACAATGGAATCCAAGTGGTGCTGCTTGTTCTTGGGTGTGATAAGGGAAAAGGCACATGGGCCAGATCTCAGGGAGCCTGCACTGCAGCCAGGAAGGCCAAGCTGGCACCCAGAGGCCTGGCCTCCCGGGCAGGCCGCCTGGGCAGAGGAGACAGTGCTGGGAAAGACACTGGCTGGCAGGGTGCTTGTGCAGTGTCTGGGATGGGACTGGCCTCCAGAAATATGGTGTCTGAGGCCAGCGATAATGAATCCTGGTCTCTGCCTGCCCTACACCACCACGGTTGCCTTCAGCCCTGCCCCTGTCCCGCGAGCCCCATTGCCATCCACGCAGGAGTCGCCACTAGCTCAGAGTTTCCATACAGCCTCCGTTGGCTGCTCGCCCTCAATCCTTCTACCCCTGGCGGCTCTTCCTTCCCCTCCTTCGCTGCCTCCAACATCCTCACCCGCTGCTTCTTCCCTTGGCTCCTTAGCCCTTGTGATTTCTCCTCCACTTGCACACAATTTCCAGGCAGTCGGCCGCCTCTAGTGCCAAAAGTGGGTGAGGTTTGTCCTTATGGCTCCCAGGCCTGCCGCTCCTTCTCCCCACTCACATCCAGACACGCAGATCTCTTCCTGCTATCAACCCGACACACACCCTCTTTCCCTGCTTCCCCAAGAGAAACCCTCTGACCTATTAGGAACTTGCCAGTTACTGGGATCATTTGGTTAATAAACCACACCGCTTGCTCACGATCAACTCGGGCTACTGAGCTGACTCGACCCCTACGCTGGTCACCTCAGAGCATTAAAGCGAAATCACGTGAGCACTTTGGAGCAGCAGGTGCGACTGAAACAAAGGCGGCTACTTCTGTGTGACCACCCCAGAGCTATCCTTGTAGCGCCATCTGCGAAGGAGTTGGGGGGAGACTTTCATTAAGCCCCACATGCCAGCGGCTTCAGCTTCTGCCCTGAGTTTTGAGGTCCCCTCAAGGCTCATCCTGCCCACCGCAGGTGGATCTGATGCGAGAGGGTACAGTGGCAGAGACACACTCAGGTGGGGAGGACTATGCTCAGTGAAGCTGTGGCTGGGCACAGGGGAAGGACCCTGGGGGCCTTAAACATGTAGGAGAAGCCTTGCTTCCCACTCCCATGCCTTTAGCTACCAGGGGTGAGACAAGGGCACAGGCCATTGTATCCCAGAAGCCCAGCGGGCATGGAGAAGAGAGGCACGGTGGGTATCCAGATGGGGCGTGGGTCCTCTCCCTATGCTCAGCACCCAGGACTGTGAGTGCCTGCGGCAGTCAGGAAGGGAAGGCTAGTGGAGAGGGACCCAGAGGGAGGCCAAGAGCCAGGAGAGGGGCGGGGAGGGGGCTCAGACCTGGCCAGAAAGATGTCACAACTCTAAGCCTGCAGGGAACGGCCACCCTGAGCACCCTAGCCCCTGGCCTGGCCTCTTGCTGCCCATCGGATGGGGGCCCACGCTCCTCCTCATCGCTGGAAGTCTGTGGGCTCCTGCTCACTGAGCCCATGGGCCACCTGCTTCCCTGATTTTGTGCAGCCCAGAGGGCCCACTTGGCTGCTGTGGATTCCCATCACTGCGGAGGTCCCGGCTCTACATGACAATTCCCCTGTAGAAATGGGAGCCACCCTCAGTGCCCGCGGAATGTTTTCTTCCACATCCTTTGCTATTGGATGGAAGGCGTGAGAGAGCCCCCGCCCCCCAAAAGACTCTGCAACCTGGAGGGGTTGGAGCCACTGCTCATTGAAATGCCCTTCACAATGAAGCTGTAGCCCCTCTACCCTGAGACCCCCAGCCAGGGGGAGAACAGGCTTTGACTTCTACGCACCCTGAACCCCGACCGCGCCAGCGCACAGAGGTCGGCAAGACTTTTCAGGAACACGCCAGCCTCACCAGGAATGATGCACCTGTTGTTCCTCTGGTGGTCTGGCCTGCCTTGTGATTGTTTTACAAGCTGGCCCTCATGCTATGGTGGGGACCCCTGTGGCTGCGTCCCCGCCCCTGTCCTATAGTCCTGTGTGTCTCCAGAATGGAGTTCCTTTCTTTTGTCTCCCCCTCCCCCCACCCCGCCCCCGTCACCTTCTCCAGGGCCCTGGGCTGTCTTCCAGTGCCAGCCTTGCTGCCCTCAGCGGCTCCACGCTCTGGCAGCCCTGCCCTCCCCCTCACTTGCCTGGCTCAGGTTACGCGGGTGCTTAGCGCTTCGGACTGGGGACACAGTGGAGGTGCTCGTCCCTGAGCGGGAAGGGTACAGTAAGCTGTCCTCGCCACTGCCACTATGACTGCAGGCTTCAAGCTGGGGCCGGCTGTGGTGAGCAGGAGGGGAGGAAGAGAGGCACTCGAAGACCAAGGGACACTTGGCCCTGGCCCAGCAGACTCAGAAGAGCAGAGTGTATCCCAGGTCAGGAGGCGGGGGGAGGGGGAGGGCGTGTGGGGGTGGACATTCCAAGGCAGGACAGAGTGTGAGACTCTGCCTGAGGACAGCAGGCAAGTCAGGGCCCCTGTTTCTTCTACTTAATGCTTATTTTATTTTCATTCACTTGAAAGGCAGGAGTACAGAGAGAGAGAGAGGGAGAGAGAGAGAGAGAGAGAGAGAAAATCTCCCATCCACTCACTTATTCCCCAAATGCCAGCAACAGCCAGATCTGGGCCAGGCTGAGCCAGGAGCTGGGAAGCTCCATTTGGGTCTCCCAGGTGGGTGGCAGGGGCTCAAGCACACCTTCCTCTGCCTCCCGGGATGCACTAGCACGAAGCTGGACCAAAAGCAGAGGATCTGGGACTCAAACCAACACCCTGATGTAGGATGCAAGCACCCCAAGCAGAGGCTTAACCTATTGTATCACAACGCCGGCCCTGTGGGGTCCCTGTTTCTTTCTTTTCTTTCTTTCTTTCTTTCTTTCTTTCTTTCTTTCTTTCTTTCTTTCTTTCTTTCTTTCTTTCTTTCTTTCTTTCTTTCCTTTTTTTTTTTTGACAGGCAGAGTTAGACAGTGAGAGAAAGAGAGAGACAGAGAGAAAGGTCTTCCTTTTTCCATTGGTTCACCCCCAAAATGGCCGCTGCGGCCGGTGCGCTTCGCCGATCCAAAGCCAAGAGCCAGGTGCTTCCTCCTGGTCTACCATGCGGGTAGACCATGCGGGTGTAGGGCCCAAGCACTTGGGCTATCCTCCACTGCCCTCCCGGGCCACAGCAGAGAGCTGGACTGGAAGAGGAGCAACTGGGACAGAATCTAGCACCCCAACCAGGACTAGAACCCGGTGTGCCAGTGCCGCAGGCGGAGGATTAGCCAAGTGAGCTGCGGCGCCGGCTGGGGTCCCTGTTTCTAACCCAGGATAGGAGGCAAGACAAGAAGGACATGTATACCTGGGTTCTTGGCTGCTGGTTACCTGCTTAGAGGGGGCCTCTTTGGCCCCAGGAGAAGCCAAGGGATAGCGAAGGCAGGGGGAGCCTTGGAAGTTTCCAGTGCTAGGCTTAAGCCAAATGTGAGGCCAATGGGTTTACTCAAAGCAGGTGTGTAGATGACCTAACGATTAAGGGTGGCTTTAAGCAAGAAGTGACAGGGGCTGGGCCAAACACAGATGGTAGTCTGCAGCCCTGTCAACTTGTATTCCCCTGTAAACAGCTCTCCCTTCTCCCAGCACTGCCCCAACAGCCACTCCCAGAAGGGGGTCAAGTTGTGGTGTTCTCCACAGCCTCTGGGGGAAGCCCCAGCTTCCTCTGGGGCAAATTCTCTGAACCCACTCTTCTTTGCTGAAGGCTCCCCCTGCACTAGTTGCCTGGGGTGGTGTCTGGTGAGTGTCTTGGCTCCCCAGCTGCGCCGGATGGTAGGCTCGGCTCCTGGAGCTCACGACCCGGCTATTTTTCATTTGTATCTGTTGCTTCCTTGCAGCCCACTGAGTGCCTGGCAGGAATTCCTGAAGACAAAGTCTGTCCCTTCTTCCCCAGGAGCTGGCCTACTCAGCCCTCAGGTCTGCAAGAGGGAACCCATGAACAGCCACCTGGAGCCAGGAGGTGTCAGAGCCAACCGATGAGCCTGGCTGGGAAGCAAGGCAGTGCCCCAGGTCCAGAGCAGCGCCAAAAACCAAGAGCAGAGAAAGGAGGCTGCCCACGGAGAGAGGCAGGCCGAGCTGGCTGGGCCCCTCGGAGGTTCCTGGGCTGCAAGGCTTCTCCTGACCTGGAGGACCTGGATCCAGCTGAGTAGGACCCTTCGCCCTTCCTCTAGGAACCTTGCCACCCGGCCCCCTCCTTCCCTCTGCTGCCAGCCCCCTGCAACTCCAGCCCTGGCACTGCCATAAGTCTCCCTGGTCTTGGCCTTTCCTTTCTGTGGCACTAGGCAGGCAGCAATGAGAGCCAGATCACAGGACTGTGGCAGCTGGAGGTGGGAGCTGGCAGCCCCAAGAGACACTGACGCAGAGAGGATGGGCAGCCTGGGGCGAGGCTGCTGGGGCATGGGTGGGAACCAGTGGAGGGGGGGACCAGTGCCAAATATTGTCAGGTGTGGGGGAGGCTGCCCCTGCCTGAGTGCCATGGAGGTAGCAGGTCAGGTGCTGTGTTTCCTGCTGTGGTGTTGGACACAGGAGGGCCAGGATGAAGCATGCCTGTGCCTGGGACAGTGGGAACCTGCAGCGCCAGCCTATGGAAGAAGCAAGCCCCTTGGCCTGGATGGAGGCTGTGGGGAGGGCGTTCTGTGTAGGAGCAGGGAGGAGAGCAGACAGGAGCTTGGGGTACAGGAGAAGCAGAGCCCAGCTTGGACCTGGGGGCTGGGGTGGGGTGTGGGGGCTGCCTCTGCTCACACGCAGGCTGAAGGAGCAACAGCTGGGCTCCCTGCCACTGCCTCCACCGGCGCTCCTGCCTATGCAACAAGTGTCACGTCTGCATGTTGGCACATCTTCCCCGCGGGCGGCTGAGCTCCCGGACCTGCGGGCGGCCACTAACCCCCAGAGGCAGACCTTCAATGTGGAGGCCTAGCCCACACAGCTCTGGTCGGCTCCCTCCACTGATCCAGGAGAAGAACGCGGCAGGATCCCCCCCCCCCCCCCCCCACCCTCCACCACGTGGGATGTGAGATGCGGGGCGCACGCTCCCGGCCCTCAGACTGCGAGGTGCGATCCGCAGGCGCACGGAGCCGGGGCAGGTGATGCCGGAGGCTGAACTGCGCTCCTCCCCACCCCGTCACCCCCGCATTGGAAGCTGTCCCCGCAGCCGGCCGACTCCTGGCCCGGGGATCCCTGTCAATGGGCCGCCCGGCGCGGCCGGCGCGTGGCTGCTCCTGCACGGCTCGCGCCGGGCTCCCCGGGAGGCGGGGAAAGGAAAGGAGCGCGCTGGCTGCAGCCCGGGCGAGCGGCGAGGGAGCGCGGACCGACCGGCGGGCAGGCGCTCACTCACCTCCACACACCGCGGTCAAGAAGAGCCAGAGCAGCAGGAGCGCCTGCACGCACAGCCGCAGATTCATGCTGCTCCTCGGGCCGCCGCGGCCCTGGCCAGCGGGCGGGAGGGCGAAGAGGACCGGCGCCCGGAGGCACAGAAAGGCGCGAGCTGCGGCAGGCGCGTGCGAGCCGCGAGCTCGCGTGGTTCCCGGGCCGCACCGTAGGCTGCCGGCCGCCGCGACCGCTCGCCGCCTCCGCTCTGCTGCAGCCTCGGTCTCCCGCCACGGGGCAGCGCCGCGAAGCTGGCCTCGGCGGCTCCGGGGACGGCAGCGAGCTCTTTCCAAGAGGCGGACGGCTCGGCGGCGGCCCTAAGTGCCCGTGGCCCCAGCTGCCAGCGAGAATGCTCCCGGCTCACTCCAGAGGCTGCATTTTGTAGCTTGTGGCTTGGCCGCGAGCCCACTTGGTCATGTGGTCATCGGGAGGGCTGGAGGGGGGGGTGGCAGGAAGAGGGAGAGGGAGCAAGCCTCCCGCGCCGCCCCCCTCCCGGCACGCACTCTGCAGCCCCAGCCAGGGCGCGAGCGGGAACCCCAAGGTGGCCCCACAACAAAGGCGGCGCAGCGGCTTGGACAACCCACAGTGGCTCCCCGGACAATGCCCGCCTGGCCCAGGGCCAGAGGGTTTGCGGAGACCTGAAGTATTT